CGAATAATTAAAATAATAATATTTTTTAATAAATTTATTATAAAATAATTATTTTATAATAAATTTATTAAAAAAATAATATTTTTTTAATATTTTGGACAAAATTTCAACCTCCTTTTTAGAGGATACAGCATTTTCCAACTGTCAAATATGAGTTCGTGTTCTATTACAATTTAATAATAATCGGATTATCAAGTCCGGTCTTTTTTTTCTTCTTACAACGGAGAGAATAAGATCAAAATTTAGAATTTGTACAAACTATGTTAACAGCATATTAGATAGATTTAAGTTAGGTCAAATTATATTCATTAAAAAAAAAAAGTAAGGTCAAATTTAAGAATGACAAACTTGATATCCAACTTAAAAGTAAACTAATCAGATTTAATATTTTAATTAAAAAAATACAAAAAAAAAAAAACAAATTGCCTGAACCAAACCCATTTATTTTGTATTAAATATTGAACCGGCCTACAACTCCTAATACTTTAGAACCTCAATAAAATTCATCTATGAAACCATGGATAAAGGAAAGGCAAGCCACGTGAAGGAACTAATATCTCATCCAAATCTTTTTTCATTATTAATTTTTTGACGGACTATACTCGAAACATATGGTTGAAAAAAAATTATTCTGATTGACATGAAAAAGATTGGAAAAGATATTGGATTTCTCGCACAAGAACAGATTATGCTGTACGGCTTCGGCGCTTAACACATTTTTTTTAACATGTGATTCAATTTCATTTTTCCCTTTGGTGCACTTTTTGAAATAAATACATTGGTTTTTCCAGAGCTAAATTATTATTTTTGTCTCCTATTTTATTTTTTTGTTTTTAAATATTTATTTTGTTCCTTTGGTTTTAAAATTTAAATCAATTTCATTTTTATGAAATAATAATTTTTTTTAATCTATTTTGAGATGTAATTTAAAAAACTTATTTGATTTAAAACATAAATTTTGTCTAGTCTAGTTGTGTACCTTCTAAAGAATTAGGTTTTGCTTGGAAAGCCTTGCTGAATAGGATACCAAGTAAATGTAACTTAATTAAGCTGAATGTTCTTAATATTTCTTCTATTTGATGTGCTTGGTGTGGTGAAGATTTGGAGAATACCTCTCACCTATTATTCGGATGTTATTATGTCTATTCTGTATGGTTATCTATTTTTGTTTGGTTTGGTGTTTCAACAGTTTTACACAACTTCTGTCATGAAAATTTTGCTCATTTTATTGAATTTCCTAGATGCAGTGATAGAGATAGGATGAGGTGGTCTGTGATTTGGTTAGCCACAATTTGGTCTCTGTGGCTTGCTAGAAATGATGTCATTTTTAAAGACAAGGTGGTGGCAATTAAGGATTTAGTGGAATTAATCAAACTACGTAGCTGGAACTGGATTAAGACCAAAGATAAAGTCATTTTTTTACCCATTTTCAGCGTGATTTTCTTCTCCTGGTGTTTGCCTTAACTTCTGGAATAATGATTCTTTCTGATTCTGTACACATCAAGGTGTTAGTTTTGTATCTGGTTTTCTGATTACTGAATTTGTTTGATTATTAGATGACATTTTATGGTCCTAGTTTTGTAATGGTGGTAGACATTACATTCAGGTGATTACCTTTTGTATGGATTAGGTTGGATTTTGTTTAGGTGACTTTGTATTTTGTAATGGGTTGGGATACTCCTTATACTCCCATTAATTTATTTTGCTTATAAAAATTTTTTTGTCTTATTAAAGATATATTGTGAGACAGAAGTCATAAATAAAACGAAAATCTCGTAAAAATGAGTCTAATAAATAATTAAAAATAAAAATAAATCAAATATCTATTTCCTTGTTTGTGAAATTTCTTTTTCATATAATTTTCATTATATTTATGATTGTTTATTATTTGAATATTAATTGAGTTATATAGTTTTAATATATGTGAATTTAATGAGACATAATCCATGTCTCAAATAAAAAAAAAGAATCAAAATTAAAAATAATGACTATTTTAAAAGTATTAAATTGAAATAAAATTAAAATAAATCTTAAAAATAAAAAGTCAAAAGTATAATTTAATTTTATTTATTATCTAAAAAATTTCAATTGTATGCATGTACTGTTCTTCGTAGGAAAAAAAACATTTAACCCTACTCAATTCACTCTATTTAAAAGATTGTTTTTTTTAAGTTAAGAGGTAGATACTGAAAATCAAATCAAATATAATGTCTATTTCCTAATTTCCAATAATATAGGAACATCTATATATGTCATTTGATATTATACCGGTCATTCATATAAAAATAATTAATTTATCACGCAGCAATAAAAGTAATTAGTTTTAATTAATAATGTTATAAATTTAAATCTTATTTTAAAAATATTTTTTTGAATTAAATGGTTTAAGTAAAAATTACATTTAATGAAGTTACACATAAATAAAAAAATTCCACCGATGATGATTAATTGTGTGGCGATACGTTCTTTTGATGTACACATTGTATTAGTTGTTTTGTCATTAACTTTCAAACACTTTCTCTCCTATATTTTTCTTATTCATTTTTTATTTTTTTCTCTACTTCTTTGTAAATTTATTTTTCAAACACCTTTTTTGTTATGAGTAAAATGATAGATAGAGATGACAATTTCATTATTAGTGAACAAAAAATCATGACATGTTGAAGATCGTCAAAATAAACACTATTATTCACTTAATGGTTAACTGAAGCTTAACAGTGTCTAGTTTGTAACACTATACATTTTATTAATTATAGTTACTTCTTTTGATGTTTATTTGTTGTGGTGATTTTGTTGTTTATTGTTAAAAAACTCTGAGAATTAAGGAATTCTCGTGAGTTTTAAGCATTTAGGAAACTTTTATGGACAGAAGTTTAGTTTGACCCAGAAGAAAAAATATATAAGATTTTTTAAAAGCTGAACTTATGAAGTTTAATCTTAAAAAAATCTTAAAGAAATAGTCTAAAGAGAAGAGCTCTAGAACCAAAAGTGACCTTACTTCCTTATGATTCCACGACAGATCTTTGGTTCCTTCCCCAAAACTCTTATGAGTTGTAGAGAGGTGATCTAGATCAATTGAGCTGAGGATGAGACTGTAAAAATGTTAGTGCAAAGTTGCTTAAAGCTCATTCCTTTTCTTTTTCTTCTTCTTTCTCGTTTCACTTTGACTTTGAGGTATGGAAAGTTAGAATTGAATCTTTGTTAATTGTTGATATTGTGTGTTGTTGGATTGCATTTAAATTTATGGCTATGTTGATGAATTTGGAGTATAATTCATATTTTGATGAGTTTTGGGTGTGTGAAGCATGTTGAGGTGATTTGGATGATTAGAGTCATTTGGTAGTTGCAAGTTGTTATTATGATGAGAAATGAATTGTACATGATCCATACTTATGAATTTTTGTGTCGTATGCTTGGATTTTTTGGGTTTCAGGTGGTTTTGTACAAATTCGTGAATTTGCCAAGTGTAGAATTCACCATTGCGTTGAGTGCGCCTATGTGGCATCAAGTGTGACTCAAATTAGGAGTCCTTTGTCTCACTCTCACTGGGTGTAGGATTAGTGACATCAAGCGTGAGGAGAGAGAAAAGTCTCTAACTCAGCCATGCGAGGTGTAGGTTGAATGGCATGGACATGAAGAGAGAAAAGTGTCTCTGCCTGAAATGGGGTTGGACGTGGGTTTAGCCATGCTAGTGTCTTAGGGTTTTTTTGACATCATCCCACATCGAACATGGATTGAATAGCATCACATGTGGGCGAGACAAAAAAAAATTGTCTGTCTTAATGACGTCAAGCACATGGTGAATGGTGTTGAGCGTGAGTTACTTTATGAAAACTTGTTGTTCGATTGAAAAGATGGTGAACATGTACAGGTTAGTTAAATCTATTACATGTTGTATGTTAACATATGTTGTTAGTTATTTATACATTGACATGAGATAATGTATATAGATAATTAATGATTGAAATGTTGAGGTGATGATGTTGAGAATACTTAGACTTTAGGGCATTAGGAAGTGTTGTGTTGCGTGACTTAGACTATAAGAGAGAGTATTTTTGAAAGTTGGATATTGTATTGTGGGGATATTGGTGTGGTGTTTTATGAGCCTAGTTGTTAAAAATCCTTCTTGAGTAGTTGACTCTTAAAGTGGATAGTTGAGTATCTTGTAGAACCTTAATTGATGTGGTATGTGGGTCGGATTGAAATATCCATATTGACTATAAGTGATTACAATATAGGGATTAGGTCAAATTATATTTATTACAATTTACAAGTGACCATTGATTCGTATGTGGGCAAGGTTTAGGCATGCTTGTATTAATTGACCAACAAGTAAGATACAAGATTGAGGGATTAGTTCCTAGCTAAGTACGGGAAGGATGTAATATTTGAAAGGTAGTCGGTGGGCTAATCCAATAGGAGAGTTAATGTTGTGATAGACTCATACACAAGTTGTTCTGTCTTGCCAAGAATACTACACTTCCTAATTTAAGTGATTAAATTCGAGAAATCATGTTGTTGTGGATTTTTATCCAGATTGATTATTGATCTAGCAAGTGTAAACAGATCGTATTGATTCGGTAAGGTCAAATCATTTAGACTGTTTACCTTTTATTGTAAGTGATTTCCATAAGTAAATGTGTAATGATTCATTGATTGAGGTGTTATACATATGATGTGTTATTTTTTATGTTATTCATATGTTATGTAAAATTGTATGTTGAATGGTGTGGTTGTGGTGTAAGTTGAAATGATTAAACTACTTATTTTCAAAGTTGTTTGATGCCATGTTGAGTTATTGTTGATATATTATTACGTCGTAAGTCATGGTTTGATTTACATGTTGATGTTAGTAGTATAGTTATCTTTACTTCTATATTTGTTATATTTTTATTCTTTTCAATACTATATTTATTAATAGTATAAATACATAATTTAAATCTATAATTTATAATTTTTATAATATAAGAAGATTACATCACGTTTTTAAGTCTGAACTTTCCAAGTATGATTTTACTTTCAAGTCTTATAAATATAAAAAGATATGATTGAAAAGAGAATCCTCCGAAGATGGTAAAACTATAAAATAGAGGATTAGTTAGCCGAGAAAGGTCCACGTGATTAAATTAATAATTGTAGGCTAATGCATTATACATATTGGATTTTGGTTTCGTCGAGAAAAGGACAAATAAACTTTACATTTTGGTTGGGGTAAGATCTGGTGTGGGCCACCACGTCGTAAAGTCATGCAACTGCCGACCACTTTATCCACGTTGACGCCGAATAGTCACGCACACTATGTCATCGGTGCATCACTATTGGTCCAACCCCCACGCGTCCACCTTTAGCCCCACACCGCCGCACACCGGATCTCGCACCGTCCTCCACACTCTATAACTATATATACCACAAATAGCTATATCCATTCAATAATCAAAACCGAAGAAGAAACAGAATCAATACAAAAAAAAAAAAAAAGAATCGTGTTGCTCTATGAAAATGGAGAAGGAGGAAGGTGAGTTTCGACGAGCGAAAACGAGAAATTATCTGTTTGGATGCTGAGAGAATGAAATAACATTAGTCTGTGTTTTTTTTTTCTTCTCATTTTATTTTCTTATTCTCAGCAATTCAAACGTAATAATGAGGATTTTAGAAGCTAAGCATTTTTCTGTTTTGCGTTCTTCGTTTCATTTTTCGTTTAATGCGTTTGGATTTATGCATTTTGTTTGTTTGGTATTTGCAGCGTTCGAGTTTCTCGGTTGCGTTCCGCTTCTGCAGAGGCTTCCAAGCTCGGCTCTGAGGAAAATATCTCAGTATGTGGTTGTCAAACACTGTGGTAATTATTCCGTCTTTTCAATTTTGAATTTTAGTTGCATTTGTAGTCACATTACGATAATACGCATTGCGCGGCATTACATGAAAATGTAGTAAACTGGTTAGGTAATTGGTAGCGTTTGAACTGCAATGCTACATGATTGCAATTGTGGACAGTGTTTAGAACCATGAAATTGGAATTTATGCGATGAATTATCTGAAAATATGTTTGGAGAGTCGTTCTTATGTTTTTCATCGAGATGTTGTTCCATTCATCCTATGTATGCTAGTTAGTGGAGTCTTTGCTTAATATTTAGGATTGCAAAAATTAATTGGAAGATGCATGGATTAATGTTTTTAATTCATGATTGGTGGATTCTGGTGTAGAGCCAGGAGAGTATGTTGTTCGTGAGGGTGAACCTGGGGATGGCGTGTACTTCATATTGGATGGAGAGGTATGCTTATATATTCATGTTACAGACCTTAGAGAAACAAAAACAGACAGTCAGGTTTCATTGGACTGCTTGTGGATTTGTTTAGGGCAGTTTTGATAATACCCTGAAGGCTTGCACTGATCTTGAGGCAGATTTAATGGCATAAAATTGGAGAGAATGTCTGTTGCCACTCTTATTTGTCTATTGTAGTCATCTCAAACTGTTTTTTTTAAATGTTATCAAAGATTTTTAAGTTAAATCTGTTATTTCCCCCAAACCCCGTATTTGTCTATTGCACTGCTCGTATGCTTATATTTTCATTTTATGTTTTCACTTTTTTAGTTACAAAATTGTCACCTTGTTTTTAATCCGATTCCTATTTTCAAATGTTTTTAAGGAAAAGAGAAAACAAATGTTTTAAATGTTCCCTGTATTAATATTCGAAAACCAGGAAACAAATTGAAAATAAGGGGACAATTTTTTAATTGAAAAGTGAAAGCAGAAAATGTAAAGAGGAAATGGAAGGGGCCTTATATTGTTTTCGATTTCCACTATTTCTAATGCAAATCTTCAAAAAGAGGTGACAAAATAAATAAATAAAAAAAGGTGGAATTTTTTTTAATTATTATAAGTGAAAACAGTAAATGAAAACAGTTTTGCTAAATAAAATAGGCCTTCAACTTTTATTAAGAGAATAATCAACAAAGATAAATAAAACTCTTGACCACTTGGTCATAGAGGGTTAGATACCTTGTCATTATCGCAATAGCTTAAACTTATGGATGTGAAACCGCATGAATGGTTTTATATTTACCAGTGGCATTTCATTTGACAAATTTATGCTGAATATACAGTTTCATTGCTTGTAGGCCGAGGTTGTTGGATTTGTTAGTGCCAATGATGAAGATCGTCCAGAGTTCCAATTGAAAAGATACGACTACTTTGGTTATGGTAGTAAACTTCATTCTTATGTCTCAAATTGAACTTTATTGTTCAAGTATTTTCCTTTCCTCCCATAGGTTACTACATACTTCTCGGGTAGTTTTATGTCAATCATTATTTGGTTAATCTTAATTATTTTCTTCTGCTGCGCTGTAAGCCTGTAAGTATATCAATTAGTTAAACTTTTTCTAGCTACACTCGTTATCTTTTACTGCTCTGGAAAGCTGTGGTCTTTCTTGGACATGGTTGCTTAAAGTTAGGGAAAGGGTTAACTAGTTTTTGGTTGCTATAGTTTCTCCAGGACTTAATTTTCTGTTATATTATTTATTGACACAGAAATACGTAGGACTTTGCATCTGTAACTTCCATGTTTCTTCTCTGTTAACCTTTTTCTCTGGGTTAATTGGATATTTATTTGCCAGTTACACTTATGGTCTTGTTCAACATTCTGGTGCATAAGCTTTTGTTTTTGTCTCGAGTTATTTTCTCTCGTTGGAGTCATGAGAATGATGTCAATTTGAAAAAATTGTAGGTTTGTCAGACACAGTTCACCAGGCAGATGTTGTTGCTTTGTCTAAGGTGCCCCTTTAATTTCTTGTCTCACAGCTTTCCAATGTCAAAAGGTGCTGTGAAATGAAATGAATTATTCATTCCTGTAGTAACATTTATTGTTTGATGTGACAGCTGACATGCTTAGTGCTGCCCAACGAGCACTCAACACTGCTGCAGCCTAAGTCTATCTGGAGTGCAGAAAATTCTCTTGAAACATGCTCATCTGTGGAGAATATATTGCATTTGGAATCCATAGAGGTTCTCTCAATATATCATTTATTTGATTATTTATTTCTTCTTGTTGATGTGTTTACATATTAAGGCTTTTATGGAGTGATTGTTTGTGCAAGAAAATTAAGTTTGTTTATCTGCTTGCCTACATCTCTACTAATTTTTGACCTTCATAGATCTTTTCCTAACTTGCTTGTGCACGACTCTTGGAAAAGACATGCTAACATGCATAAAGTGAAAGTTAAGAAATTAAAAAGCAAGGAAAAGGAAAAATGATACAGCAATTTAAATATCTTTAAATAAGACTGATGTGGTTGTCCTGGTTTATTGGAGTATAGTTTTACTCTAATATGGTTCTCTTTGATGGCAGAATTTTGGTTTATTAATTGGTAATGTGGTGCATCTTTGATGGTGTGCAATAATACCTGGAATTCAGCCTTATAGAATTTTGTTATTCTCTTTTGAAGGTAGATATCTTCCAAGGAATTACCCTTCCAGATGCTCCAAGATTTGGAAAGGTGTTTGGGGGGCAGATGATTGGACAGGTATGATCATACTACTTTATCTTCCATATTAAAGCATGCTACACATGTCAGTGATACCTTATATACATATATTAATTACTAAAATGTGTAATGTGCAGGCACTGGCTGCGGCATCAAAATCTGTTGATTCTCTTAAGGTTGTTCATAGTTTGCATGCCTATTTTATTCTTGCAGGGGATTTACACAGTAAGCATACACACATAACTTTTTTAGAAATGCTCTGGATGCGACTTCCCTTTTTATTTCTTTTTGCTCTTTTTCCTGATATGAGATGTTTGTCCCATTATACCTTCATAAACTATGAAACTTGAATGGTTCATTTTCTTTTTCTGATTCTGTCCATTAAACTATGTTGTAATTCGTGTGAGAAAGATTTCTCCTACTTATATATGATTTGTAGTTGGGAAAGTTAGGTCCAACACATACTTTTTGGTTGGTAGTTTAAGAAATAAGAATTATCTTCTTGGTAAATTCTACACCAGGCCCAGTTGTCATATTGCCTGTAATAGTTGTGAATAGAACAGGTAATAGTATAATCTATCAAGCCATCTGATATAATAAAAGACAAAAATTGCACAGTATTCAGAATCACTAGTAGGACAGTATCATCAATCAAGTAAGCTGAAGCAAACACAGCAGGCTATGTACAGGAGAATGCTCAACTACTGGATCACAAGAAAGGAAAAGACACAAAAGAAACAAACTGAGCAGCAGCTCCTCACAAAGGGAGAATACTCCCAAATCCCAATCATGATAACAGAAAATGCCCTCATACATACCCCCTAATAACCAGAACATGCCTCTCACGTAAAACCCCTTCTCAGTAATTGTCTTGCTTATGCAACCCCAAGACTCCAATTAACTCTTTTTGTTGAATATTTTGCTCCTCTTCACATCACATTTCAACTTCTTAAGCACACTGTCATAGTTAAGCCCAAGATCCTTAGATTTGGCTTGCGTATCAATACTCTCTATTAGAGTATTGTATACACCTGTACAGAAATGTGTGTAAGAAAGCCTAACTTCTAACTGTTGTTGGTTAGCCTTAGTGCCAGTTGCCTGTTGTTAGAGTTGCATATTTTGATTGATATTTCAAAATGTTAATGTCTTTGATTAATCAATTTAGAAAAATATTTTAAATTAATTTAGCGACTTAACAAAATTGATATTGACTGGTTTGGTCTTGCTAACTTGGTCTTTTAATATTGGGTTTCACCTTATCCTTTTAACCTAGTCTTAGAAGCTGTATTTTTTTTATTAGAAATATAATATTTTCAGAAGGTTTCTAGAGAGTTTCTCACAACTTTATCTTCCACCTCTTCTTCTGAGTTCCTGGATTTACAGTAAACTAAAATCTTGCTAGTTTTGTTGCCCCAACCATTGTTAGAAAGGGTGTTGTGATGGAATTAAATGCCCATATTTGGACAATCTATATTGACAACGACCATATAGCATCAAAGCTTTTAGAATGAGGAAGTCCAGTAATAAAGTCCATGCTAAAGTCATCCCAAATATTCTTGAGAATAGCCTATGGTAGTAATAAACTCACAGGAGCTAAGGATTGATTTATTTTTCTGGTTTTTGGGACATTCTGCTACTTATTTGGTAACTGTTGTCATCATGCCTGGCCAGTACAGCTTTGCTGCCAGTCTTCTTTAAGTGCGGTAAGCCCCCTGAATGGCCACTAAAAGATGTGGCATGGAATTTCTGACATACACCTGGAATTAATGTAGAAGTGGCTGATATCACAAGCTGACCCTTGAAAAATAACTTTTCCTGTCCCAGAGTACATCAGCCTTTTAAGCAGAAATAATTTTCTGTAGAAATGGATCTGCAATCACTTCTTGAGTTCTTGTCGAATTTTTTCTGCATCCAACCAGATTGGTCTAGTAAGAATCATCAGTTCCGCTTCTTTCATTCATGACAAAGCATCATCCCCATTATTATTCTTTCCCACCGTATACACGTCAAAATCATATCCCAATAGTTTAGTTAACCAGTCCTTCTGGTTTTGGGTTGTGATTCATTGATCCAACAGTTGGGAAGACATGATTAAAGCCATGAGCTCCTTCTCGTAAATTGATTTCAGCAAAGTATTTTTTTTTAAAGAGCCTTGCTATAATAAGTTATAGGTCTGGTCTCTGGCATAAGATTTACAATATCCCTCGTTCCTTTTCCTAAAGCATCACATTCAAAGATGAATGGTTTTTGAAAAATTAGGTGTCGCTAAAACAGGAACCATGAACAATCTTTGCTGCAATGTCTCCAAGGCTCACTGTGCATCTAACATCCAGAGAAATTCCCCTTTCTTTTAAAATATCAGCGAGTATTTTCCAGCTCTTTATGGGTTATTAGTTAAACTCCATGCGTTCATGTAAGCTATATCTTGTTATCATGAATTACAGATCCTAGGGCTCTGGTGGAGAATCTTTTGTAAGTTAGTTTTCATGTTGACTTTCCATAGTTTCTGCTAGAAAGTAGATCCTATAGTTTCTGTCCAAAGATAATTGACTTTTAAGTAAATCATGACATATACTCTTGTGGTTGATCCGATAATATCTCGTGTGAACTCCACTCCATTATATCATATCATGTTATTTATACTGCAACTTTAGTCGTATGCTTTAGCTTATAATAAACAAATTATACATAGGATAAACTTTTCTTTTCCAGTGCCAATTATATATCAAGTTCACCGTTTCCGTGATGGAAAGAGCTTTGCTACAAGGAAAGTGGATGGAATTCAAAAGGGAAAAGTCATATTCACTTTGCTGGCTTCATTTCAAGTAATCTATATTATTCTTAACTTGAAAGTACTTTTTTTAGTAATTATTTTATTTATTTAGTTGTGAATCTAGCCTTATGTTGTGCTCTCCCTCCCTCTATATTTACAATTGCTTATTTTTCTTTTCAATTGAATATAGTCTATAACAACAAATTTTAGTACTAAGTAGTTATCAGAACTTAAAATCTTAGACTTGTACCACTAGGAGTTAAAAAGATGTTCAGGAGAATGTCTGATTTGCTGCAAATAGCCCCCATATTGTTAATTACAGCAAGACAAAGGGCTTTTTGTTTAAACTTTTTTCTTAAAAAGAAGCGTTTTTTTGTAATAAATAAGCAGTTTTCTATTTTTTATTTGTTTGTTTAAACCGTTTTTTAAGAAGCAATTCCTATATACTAGTTTAAAAAAAAAATATTTTTGACAATCACTTTGTTTAGAATTTTTTTTTTTAAATTTTAAACAAACTGACCCAGAACCCAGGGCTGCAGAAGAGGGCTCCCTTCTAGAATTCTGGAATTGAAAGTGGTTATAATTATTTGGATTATGGAACAATAGATTTTTATTTATTTAACACGGTGAAAAAGAATTACCTGTATTAAAGCCACTTTATCTATTGCTTGTTGGGTAGTGTTTGCTTGTTTGGTATTTATTTTTAAAGTACAGAACTAGCTTTCTCACTTATGTGAGCTAGAACAAAAATGAATTTTGGACATCTCATGGCCTTGGAACTCCGTAGGTCTACTCATGCCTTTTCATTGTTTCCGGTCTACACAAAAGATAATACTGAGATCAAAGGAATATGATATCTCTAATATATAGCTGAGCAGTTTCTAGACTTATTTATATTACATGCACAGTGTGAATCAATTCTTGAGGTTTCGGAATTATGATCAAGCTATCTAAGGAAAATTCAGGGTATAAAATAAGGAACTGATATTCTGAGGAAACTAACATAAAATAAGGAAACATGGAAATAAAATCAGGGTAAATTCAGGATAGTATCTCAAGTTCTCAACAGATATAAAATATCAGTTTCTTGGTCACTTATGGCTGGCTGGAAGTGAACAAGGCCAAGACCCTTTGTCATAAAACTAGAGAGTAAAATAATGATATTTAAATTGATTGTCTGTTTATCTATTTATTTAAAAAAAAAACTGCACAAAATTGAGGATTTGTGGTTTCTGGATATAATTATGAGTAAACTGTTAAATTCATATGGTGAAAGAAATTAAAGAATGGACGGATTAAAAGAATCAGGTTGCAGGAATCATTTCCACAAAAGATGTAATAACATTCAGAACTGTTATTATGAGTGCTAATTAAGAACTTCTGCAAGTTTTCAAGCTTGTGTTGGGTTAAAAAGTATTTTTTAAGGTCAAGATAAGGGGAAATAAATTAGTTCCCTTACATAAAAATGTAGATTATCTTTTTCCATGATAAGTTTCTCTTTGTCTATTTTTAATTTTTTTCATAACTGCAAAATACAATATGGTTAATGCAACTTCATGTAGGCTGTTGTCTGCATGACTGTGACATGTTCTTTTAACATATATGCTCCCCTGTTCTAGTCAAGAATTTTCTTTCTGAATTGGGAATATATTAATCAGTTACTTTTCTTAATCAACAGAAAGAAGAATCAGGGATGGACCACCAGGAAGTAGCTTTGCCATCTGTTCCGGCTCCAGATAAGGCAAGATAAAAGCTAATGTTTGTTATATTTGTTTGTTACTGTGGGTTTCTGTTCATTAATATTTTTCAATCTGTTACTTATAGCTTCTGCCGATGGAAGAGATGCGGGAGAGACGTCTTACTGACCCTCGTTTACCAATGTAAGATTTATTGAAAAGAATAACTTGATTGATGCAATATTGTTCTATATGACTATATTTATTTTCATTTTTCTGTCGTTGTATGTTGTTGTGTTTGTTTATTGTGGAACAGTCATGGGATCTTCTCTATTTATCATAATGTAGCTGTCAAGATTCTATATATAGGCTACAAATGAAAGTAATTTATGTATTTTGTCTATTGGGATCTGGGTTATACAAGAGGGGAAACCCTTGTCCTTCCCATTAATCCATCCTTGCTTCAAATTCGAACCTGGGACCTCCAAGTTGGGGTGCCTGGTCCATAATAATTGGAGTGTCTCCTTGGGGATGAAACCAAAAGAACTTTTAACCGATGGAAACTTCTTTTCTAAGTATTACTTGTCTAAGTATTTTGCTAGCTCCATTATTTGTGTACAAATAACCTCTTACATATTATATTAAGCTTCAAAATATGATTACTTATAAAGCAAAACATCATAATGGAAGGAAAAGACTACCCCTCCTTTGTACTTACTGACTGAATCATAAGTGTATGAACTATCTTGGTAAGTCTGCCTGATGATTTTCTGTACCATAATGACAAAATTCTTTGCCTCAGAACCTACCGGAACAAAGTAGCTACAACTCAATTCATCCCTTGGCCCATAGAGATACGGTTCTGTGAATATGAAATTTCAACAAATCAGACAAAATCTCCTCCCAGGTTAGCCTGATGCTCTGTCTGCAATTTTTTTTTCGCTTACTTTTATACTGACCATTTATGCAATGTACTGGTCAGTAAGATTTGGAAGGGAACATCGCCCTCCTTTCTCACCAAATCATTTTTCCAAATGTAACCTTAATGTCTGTTTTTCTAAATGCTTGATATTATCTGAACTTGTTTAAATACCATATGCAGTTTGAGATACTGGTTTAGAGCAAAGGGAAAACTTTCAGATGATCAAGCCTTGCATAGGTACATACATATCTTCTATTTACTTTAGATGTGTCTGGTTCCGAGTGTTCTAGTAGAATTAGTAATTTAATAAGAACTTTTATTGATGTGCCAAAGCCAAAGCTTGCACCCGATGGAGCCCATTGAGACTGCCTGAATGCATGTAATTCTGGAGCTACTTAAAACAATATTTTAGTCATGTTAAAACCTATGTTTTGTCCCAGAAAAACTTTTCTCCTGAGAAAGGATTAGTTGGGAGAGTTTGAAGAAATGGAGATCGGCAAAAATCTGATTGTACCATATGATATATTTTGAACCATCATTTGTGGATATAGATTGTCTTCGAGTAGCAATGTGATACTCACGTTGGCATACTTAAAACAATATGTAAATAAAATTTTCCGGAGATTGAAGAATTCAACTGGTGTTTGATTTCTCGCATTTCATTAGTTTTTCATACTTCGTGTATTGCAGGTGTGTGGTGGCATATGCCTCGGATCTTGTATTTCTTCAAGTAAGTTTGAATCCGCACCGTGAGAAGGGTTTCAGGACACGTTCTGTTAGTCTCGACCACTCGTAAGTATCTGACTTTTACTGGTTTCTTGATTAATAATTTATTTGTTAACATTAGAAAATGTAGGGAATGTGTAACAAGTTTTCAAGGAATGAATTTGCTTTCTTTCTTTTTGATAAATACTTTTTTGAATTTTTTATTATAATTTCAGTATGTGGTTTCACCGATCCTTGAGAGCAGATGACTGGGTGCTATTTGTGGTGAGTTTCATTCTTGTTTCTCATGTTTAATTTTTTGGAAATTACAGCAAAAGAATTTTTAATAAAAATATTTTCAGTTATAATCAATGAGCCAAATCAATATTCAATAATTGTTGCTCATTCATTAGATGAGGTCCTGTCTGGTTTACTATCAAAATCAATTTCGCAAGTGGTGACACATATCAATGTAAAATTTATGGTTGAGCTTAATTTAGGCACACATCTTGATCACATTCAATAATTTAAACTCAATTCTATTAAAATCTAAATAAATCAAAGAGGCATATCATTGTTTACTGTGAACGTCTTTTGTATTTATTTATTTTTGTTTTGTTATTTTGATTGGAAATTCATTTCTCTGTACAGATCTTTACTCCAAGCGCCTATAATGCACGTGCCTTTGTCACCGGCCAAATGTTCAATCAGAAGGGAGAGGTAAGCATGACCAAATTATACCAATTCGTTCTCTCTTTGTGGTTTC